TCTTTGCTGTTATTGCAAAGCCGGTCTTTACCCGCTGAACCAACGTGATATTGTTGGCAGCGGTTCCCAGCGCCTGAAACACCACTAGCCTTACTCCAGCTGGAGAAAGGAGACGGTGGGGATGGAAATAGTCAAGGTGCAGAAAAAGTCGTGAATCGGCTTTTCCACTCGAGTTGGCACTTTTTGCTTTCTGGGAGGGCGGTGCTGCCTTTTTTGTCGATGGCCCAGCGCTACTGACTAGGCCTGCCCGAGCTACGGTGGCCCAAGTTGTCTTTGGGGCCGGAGCCTGGGTTTTCGTAGAGTTAGGTGCCCTAATTTCTGGAGCCCTCGGTGGGAAAGGGTTGGCGGGGCGGGCAGGAAGGACTGGTGGTGTGCTTCCTGGACCGGATTGAACGAACTGGCCAATAGCTGCTCGTAGGTAGACTTTTATACCGTCTACGAATTCTTTATTTTCGCCGATCGAAAGAGGCGAAAGTGCTGCTTCAACACTGTTTATCGCAGTCGGGCAGATGGCGAGGCGGGCCGTAATTTGCGTCGTACGTCGCTTTTCGGCCTCCATCACGGTTTGCAGCTCCGGAGGAAACTCCATAGTTGATGTCGATGCTGCGCCTTTTGAGGCTGGCAAAGCATTTTTTCCGGCAGACGATTCGGCACGTTCGATCGTCCTTTCTCTGACGATCTCCTTTCCTTTCCTGGTGCTGCTTGCCTCGAGGGCCAGCTCGGCGGGTTTCGCGGTCTGTTGACTGTTCGTTTCTGTTCTGATCGGATCAGAATCAGTCATCTCTTAGTCGGGAAGGGTGGAAGACTTCCCTGGGACAAAGGCCTCACTCGCAAACAAGCTTGATAATTTTTGCGCGAGGCCAGGAGGTTTTGGACACATGTATGTCCGTTCAAAGCCGACAGAAATGGTCGACTTTGGTCGTTTGCTCTTCATCGGAGGCATTTTGGGACGCCTTTCGATGGTCATCAATTCAAGAACTCAAGCACAGGAATAATCATGAGAAGGGAAAAGGGATATAGGGAATTTTCGAATTTGTCGAATTGTCCGTTTTTTTCGTGGTTTGTCATTACAGATGGCATGGGTTCCCACACATCTGACGTCGGATAGAGGGTCAAACTGGGTCGGAGATTTATGGGGGCACTTATGCAAGATGACAAGGATCGAACCACGGTTGTTCATAGCGTTCCACCCGGAAACCGATGGGGCGACAGAGAGGATGAACCAGGACGTATTAGCTTACCTACGCGCGTTCGTATCACTCCCACTGGTGGAACGGGCATCATTGCTACCTACTTCGCAATAAGCAATCAATAATAGGGACAGTTCAGCCACAACCCTAAGCCCATTTTCCCTGGAACATAGTATTGGAAATGGAGACACGGAGTGTTGTGGACGTATGGGCCCTCCATTTCGTCTAGGTTCCCGACACGATCTCGTGTGTATTTAAGAGGTTGGAGTGGGTAATATGGTAGCGCTTCAGGCTATCTATTGGAGACATGAGTGGCTGTATGGCGTGGGCGCAAGGAGGTAATTGGGGGTTTTCTATGCCTAGATGGCGCCACACTCGTTTATGCTGTGGCGTAGGCTCTGTGTCGCTTACACTTGTACTTGTAGCGCACAATTCACACTCTTCTGTTCAACTTCTTTCGTTCCATAAATATTGCGTCCATTTCATTGCGCGATATTTCCAACACATAGTTATCACGCAGAGCCAGTACAGCTAAAGTCGTCCGAGTAAAAGGAGCCTCTATCAACACGAGCCAAACAAGCTGGGAAACTTGTGGATAGACTACTAGAGGCACAAGAATTCGCGGCAGCGGTGATGGCGGCCGTGCAGCAGATAATAGAGGAACAGGTTAACAGGAAGAGGGATCCTCCGCCACAGCTTAGGGCGGGCGATAAGGTGTGGCTCAGTCTGAAGAATATTTCCACGCCTCAGCTAAAAAAGAAGTTTGCGTGGCTCAACGCAAAATACACGGTAGTAAAATTAAAATCACGGCATGTGGTAGAGCTGGATGTTCCGTCTAGTATGTAGCCAAGATTTCAAGAGGAACTGCTACGAAAGGCTGATGATGACCCGCCACCCTCTCACATCCGACATGACGCGCAACCTTCACCATTGATGATAAAAGATGGAGAAAACTCAACTATAGAACCAGTGGTCGAACTGATTTTAATGACAGAGAAAGTGCGACGCGGGAGAGGATGGGTACGTCGAGTTTTGACCAAATGGAAGGGTTTTGCCGTACCGGCATTAAAAGATCGAACTGATCTCAAGGATGTGGAAGCCACGGACCATTTCGAAGCCTTGTTCGGCAAATGAGACAACGTCGGAGAGAACGAAGGATTCAGACAAGGAAGATAGAAGGAAAGGATAGTCAGAAGAGGTAATATGACGGGTTTTTTCTGGATTGGAGCTGGTCACTGGGACCACTCTGTCTTCGAGGTTAGGATGTGGCAGAGCAACGCTCCTGGAAATGCGAATGAGGCGCTAAGTATCAAGGGTGGTACGTACTAGATAGGGAGTAGGGTACAGGAGAAGATATGAGCCGGGGAAAAAGGATGATTCTCAGGTGGCCAATGGAGGAAGCTAAGACTAGTCTATGCAGAGGACATAAAGGACAGGATACGATACTACAGATTAGCTTCCCAAGGAAAAATTATTCATTCCCATTGAGTTATCGACTTCAAGTACCTCTGAGATCTTTAAATCTTTTATGTAGGCTGATAGCTAGAGTGACAAAAGTCGGAGAAGAAACAGGATGTATGGGCCGACGCCAACAGTGCAGGCAAGTCATGTCTTCAAGTTCTCTGAATCAGAAAGTAGCAAAAATATTATCCAAGGCCTTAAATTGAACTCGAAGTTTCTCTAGCGTACTCATACCCATCTACTAGATCTTGTTGTCATAAAACAGTTCTACATCAGTATCGATGCGGTATCTCTATCTGTGCACTACTATATGTAACTGTTAACTCACTTATAACCAGATTCCATGAAATATGGGTTGAAATTAGAGGGCTCACGACTGCACTTATTGTTGTCCATTGGTAACAGTGACTAATATTAGAATATGATTCCTCTGGACGGGTAATACAGTAGTACTGTTACAGGAATACTTGGAAGTAGATTTGATAAAGTATGGGGTTGAATCGTTGCGTGTATCTTCGTCTCTACGTCTACGCACTTCATAGAAGCATCGCGATCTCGCACCCACTAATGTACCGCTCCTGGTCTCATCCACACGCTAATATGAAACTACTAATACAGGGTATGTAAAATCAACGGACGCCTTACCCTTTTTAACTCCTAGGCAACCAATAACCACGGAGGGCAAGACTGAACACCTGTACGCGGTGTCCTCTACGAACCTGGGAGTGAAATATTCTCCCAGAGCTAAGTTAAGTCAAATTTCGCAATATCAAAGAAGCTGGCCCACGAGGCAAAAATTCAAATTACTACACCACGTCGTTTTTTCGCTCCCAACGAGTTTGACGCCTGCCTAATTCTCATCAAGTCTACCAGTACGACCTAGTACATCTTCATCCCAATGACCACACCACTCTTCGACCTTCTCTGGCCTCAATTGACCACCAACTACACGCCCACGCTGATATCAATACCCGACTGAGGAAGCAAAGCGTCGCGCACAAATCTGGGAGAATGTTCTTTGGGATGGACGTGGGAGGGTTCAGGACAAGTTCACGAGATGATGCAAAGGAAGGATATGATCTCGACGAGCGCGTGATTATGAATTTTGACAAGAGTATTACGAATTGAGCTTTGTGCGCGCCAAGATTCGCTCGTAAGAGTGCAGCTGACACTATAAAAACAAGCAAGCAATGGTAGGTGTAGTGGTCCGCCTCCTGGTGGTGTTCTCTGGTATAGTCTGAGTAGCCTGGGCACCTACTCCACTTGGGGAGGAGACACCTCAGATTGCATTTCGCACGGAGAAAAGTTGAAAGATGATGGAGGCATGTCTGGATAACTCAGGGTTTTTGAGACGTTCCGCTGGGTGGGTATTCACAGATGAGGGTTGACTTGGGCTGAAGAAAAAGCCACCATAACTTCGCAGTGGTACTTGCAAATGAAATCCAAGGCATGAGTGCTCCTCTTGTAAATTGAGTCATCTATTCTGTACTTTTCTTTGATATTGTGTCATGGCTAGATAGCTGTATACGCAACTAAAATCTGATGCAAAAAAAAAATACTCAAGAGTGTAGTGTGAAAGTCTAACCAGATCCGAAACCGCTTTCTCCTGTCTCAGATTGTATATGTTTCAAGCAGTGAAATAAACACATCTCTCTCTCTTTTGATCGTTACTCTAGCTGAAGTAAGTGTGACGGCCCAACATTTGAAGTTACCACGTGGACGTTGGTCCAATCAACGGTGATCCGGCAGAGCGTCACTACAGGTATTCCAACAACAATTTTACTACAAACAGGATTCTTTTTTGTAAAAACTACGATTCGAATGGTTTGCCATAGTCACTGCTGTTTATACGAGACCTTTGGGCCGCAGACAATCAGGAACAGGGGATTAAATTAAGCAATTTTATATAAATAGTTGATGTATTCCTATGTACATAAAAACATATTGGTATGTTTCAACCCAATTTTCTCTTTAGTTCAGAATCTTATGATCTGGGTCAATGCCAGCTTTTGAACCCTCGCCAATTGTCTTTTAATCCTAGAGTTTTCACAGCAAATCCACCGATTCGATGACCTTCAAATTATTGTAACAACATGAGCGGCTAGCATCAATCATAACGATTTATTTACTTATCCTCGTTCAATTACTATTTTTCTTACCACTGAGCTACTAATTTATTTGATATTTATTCACGTGAACTATAAGTCGGTTTGGATATTGTGAAGAATTTTATCAGTCTCTGACAATATTTATCCTTGACATCACTATAATTTTCAATCCCTAATATCTCCTGACCTTTAAATCCTCCCACACGGACAGAATGTCATTAATATCATTAAGATAGACAATTTAAGACCTTAGAACGAGTATGTTATTTTCGAATGCCTTTAATATCGGGCTATACAAAGTATCAGGGTCATGAGTGGTACCCGTCGCAATATCTTCGCCCTTTCGAAATAAAATTCTCCAGAAAGTCCAAACAAGAATTTCGACATTTTTAAACATTGGTGAGATCCGTTCATAGACCTCTTCCCCGAATGTTTCGGGTTTCATCTGCATTTTCTTGTTCGTGTGGATCTCTTCCGCAGTCCCTGAGTACCACTTTCTTAAGAAGTCCAAATGCGGTGACTTGTTATCCGGCCATCCATAGCGTATACATATCCACAACAACATATAGAAAAAAGACTCAAGATCATGCCGGTACGAGTGTGACACTACAGCACCAGGTGCTGCGAAGCTGTTCTTCAGGATTTCTAGTGCCATAAATTGCATGGTTCCCGTCATCGCTTCCAGTTTCCCTTGTGCCTTGCCGTCCTTGAACAAAGTTGCAAGGTCCAGGTCGATCAGAATGCCTCCATAATCTTTAGGGTCGTCACAGATCTTCAGGAGGATGTTATTCACCGAAATGTCTCGATGCAATATTTTGGCATCGGTAAAAAGAGATCTATGAGCCTTAATGGCGTCGCGTAGCCCCATTACTACTTCTAGCGGCGTGTTGAAATCATTGATTGGTTTCCCGATTGGCGTTATTGCAACCGCTGCTTGCTGGCGCTTCCGTATGTCGACACATTCCGCTCTTTCAATCTTGTATCCAGATGGGATGAAATCACTCGTAAACGACATCATCGATTCTTCACTCGCTTCGGTCGTACTTGTGTGGTTAGATTCACTCCCAAGAGAAGAGTTTGGTGCATCATTTTCATCAGTTGTCGCTTCTTCTCTATGACTGGAAAGATGGACTCTTTTGAGACGATCATTGACATCTACGTCTTCCTGGATCTTTCGCTTTCCACCAACCGATTGACTCATTCGTAGTTCCTCGATGCGACTGCTACGTCTCTGCGGACTTTGGGGAACGTCAAGGCTTTCATTGGCTTGAGTGGTCTTTCCTGATTCAACGACTATTCCAGTTGGTCGTGATCTAATTTCGACTACAGGGACACTTCGAGGTACTTCTATAATCATAAACTTATAAGTATTTTTTCCAATTTTGATATCGAGTGTTTACTGACCTTTAGTTCCACTTCGTGTTCGCTTACTTACTGACTCAATTCTGGCTCCGGCCTGTTCTGGCTCGCTCTTCCGTTTGCGAGATTCAGCTTTACTTGTACTCTTCTTTAGGTATTGAACAGAATTCCCACTTAAAACGACAGGCGTGGTTAATATCTTTTCAGCCGGTCGTGTGCACTTCACCATGAGTTGAGTGAAAGTAAGTCCCTTTCGGAGTGTGCTTGTCTGTACTAAATCGCGCCATCCGATGAGCTTTGCCATGCCTACAACATCCTTTGCAACCTTGAGCAATTCCACCTCAGATGTTTTCCCACAAATCTTCCACGAGAACTTTACCACATATTTTTTATCAATAGAGGAGTAAATAGTTGTGCCCCTAGAGACAAGCGCCGATTGACATACCAACGGCTTCGAATCAAGAGAAAACTCCTGCATAACATTTGACCCTGGAACCTTCATCTTGATGATGATCTCGTCACCATCATATCGGATGTTTGAGTCGATCCCGTGCTCTTTGTCGCTCATCATCATGTAAGCAGCCAGCACATGGACTAGTTTTTTCGGGGATTTCCCAATATCAATGATCGACTCACAGTAAGGACCTGACCGATCGAATACCCAAAGCTGAAGTTGAGTCCCAAAAAGTATGAACCCGTGAACAAAATGCCGTAATGGCTGGGCCAAGAAGACTTCACTCATGTACACACAAAGCCGGAGAAACTTGTCCAAAAACGCTGATGTTCGTAGCTTCGTGAGCTCTCCTACCACAAGTACGTCGCGCCAGTGATAGCCGTCACCAGTAGGGAGATTATTTCGCTTGATAAAATAATCAAGCTGTCGATCGGTTTGCCCTCCTTCGATTTGTCCTTTGGCTAATGTGTGACATTGTGTGGCTTCAATGGAGTGCATGAATCTACTTCTGGCCATCTTTCCTTTCTCCTTTGCCGATTTCGTCCAAGTGCTGACGGAAGATTTGATAATCTCCTCCTCCAAAGCCTTCATCCATCTCCACACATCCGCCTCCGCGGGATCCTCAGGAAATTTAAGATTTTCCTCTGCCGAGCGAGCCTCATACTCTTTTGATAGCGCTTTGCAGTGCTTCGACCACTTCGGCTTTTCAAAGAATTTTTTCCAGAAACCTTTCACATTCATAAAAACCGATCCAGACAGTTCATGGCGCATTGATTCCTTGAGTTCTTCCATTGTCTTTCCGGCTCGATCAAGTGGTGCTCCAGCACGCCTATAAATCGAGTCTGCCGCCAATTTCTTTGGTTGATCAGTGGGTCCTTTGATCATTGTTTCAAGCGTATCGACAAGATGCATGAGACATTGCCAAACCTCGACATCTGAACTGTAGTTTAAAATTGTCTTTGCTAGTGGTTCAAATGGAGCCAAGTCGAACGATGTAGAAGTCAGCCAGTATTGAATACGAGTCATTCGAGAGAAAAGATTTCTTATCTCGGAAGTGACAAAATTTCCTTGACTGACGTGAAGTGTGAATCGAGTAAATAAATTTATAAGAGATTCCCTTGATGCAACTTCACCGATTGGATTTTCGAAGACAGTGTCACCTGTACCATTAAAGTTCATCTTATAGATGTCACGGAAAGGCTCTAAAATATTGGAAAGTGGTTCCTCCTGCAAGTAAGTTACAACATCAAACGTTAGGGACATTTTGTTAGTATGGTAGGAGTAGAATGTTGATAAAGCCTAATTTTAACATCAAAGCATGCGATAGAAAAATATGGCTCGATAATGTGAGTTGGATGATTGTGTTATTCTTTGTATCCGCGGGGGTAAGCTTGACCTTAAATTATTAATTTGGTGCATTATGCCTTAGATTATTCCCTGTTTGCTTAAGCTTTTCATAACCGCTAGTTCTACACATCGACTATCTCTTAGGTCGTTGATCGACATGAGCTTGATAAAGCTTGCATATATTGGTTGGCGGTGGCATCTCCACAAGTAAACCTGACGTGCATGAATGCATCATTGCACATATCCATCCCATGGCTAGGGAAGTAGTCGATGAAGATAAAGATGAAAATTTATTCGTGACGAGCACAGTCCCTGCACTCTTTTTTTTGCATCAGATTTTAATTGCGTATGCAGCTATCTAGCCATGACACAATATCAAAGAAAAGTACAGAATAGATGACTCAATTTACAAGAGGAGCACTCATGCCTTGGATTTCATTTGCAAGTACCACTGCGAAGTTATGGTGGCTTTTTCTTCAGCCCAAGTCAACCCTCATCCGTGAATACCCACCCAGGGGAACGTCTCAAAAACCCTGAGTTATCCAGACATGCCTCCATCATCTTTCAACTTTTCTCCGCGCGAAATGTAATCTGAGGTGTCTCCTTCCCAAGTGGAGTAGGTGCCCAGGCTACTCAGACTATACCAGAGAACACCACCAGGAGGCGGACCACTACACCTTCCTTCGTTTGCTTGTTTTTATAATGTCAGCTGCACTCTTATGAGCAAATCTTGGCGCGCACAAAGCTCAATTCGTAAAACTCTTGCCAAAATTCGATATTTCACGCCCGTCGAAAACGTAACCCTCTTCTGCATCATCTTGTAAACTTGTCCTGATCCCTCTCACGTCCATCCCAAAAAACAGTCTCCCAGATTTGTGCGCCACGCTTTGCTTCCTCCGTTGGGTGTAAGTATCGGCGTGGGCATATATTTGGTGGTCGACTGTGGCCAGAGAAAGTCTAAGAGTGGTGTGGTCACTGGAATGAGGATTTACTTGGTCGTACTTGTAGGCTTGATGAAGCTTAGTTGAGAATCGGACTCTTTGGGAGTGAAAGATTGACATGGTGGAGTAATTTGAAATTTTGCCTCGTGGGCAAGCTTCTTTGATGTTGCGAAATTTGACTGAACTTGGCTCTGGGAGAATATATAACTCCCAGGTTCGTAGAGGACACCGCGTACAGGTGTTCAGTCTTGCCCGCTGAGGTGGTCTTCACTAGTAGGGTTTTCATGGTGTGCACGGATGTCTCTGTCAAACTCCACCAGTTCCTGTCACCTGAACCAGAAGACGAAGGCAGAACACCTGTCAGTGGTGTCCTCCACAAACCTGGGGATGAATTATTCTCCTAGAGCCGAGATTCAGCCAAGACAAAGGGTGAATTTAAGAGTTTTCGTCGAGTGAGCGATAGGGAGGTGTGGTGTTGGCTCATTTTTGGTCGAGAACCCAGCTTACAGAGATTTCACGACTGCACAACTCAACGAAATTTACCATCTACACACCAGATACGAACCGCAGACAGGCTCAAACCTATCTGATGTTCGTATTAAAATAACCAACACCTTCAAAATCTTAATTTTTTTTCTGGAAAATCATTCTCAGCCAAACTCATCTCGCGGCCCTCTTCACAATCTTCTCACCACCTACCGAAGCAATCCCATACCTTCAAATGTCAAATCGTCAACAAAGAAGCAAGAGGATGTCCGAACCTCTGCAACTGCCAGTCGCTGTGAAAGTACGGTGGAAATACTAGCCTTAAATGCGTCCTCACCTCGGCCAAGGGCACCAACAACTCGACCTGCGACGAATCGCCACGGACGAAATACGTACAACATATCGCCGGCACACCAGATAGAGCGTTAGACAAAGGCCGGGGCACCGGTGCCTCGGTCTTCAGCTCTCAGTCGCGTTTTCGACCTTGACGGTTAGGGGTACGGCAGCGACGGGGCAAGGCCGGAGAGGTGGAAATTCTACAAGCTTCCAGGATAACCAGGTTGGCTAAAGGATAAAGGGATGCTATATGGGGGAGGAAAAAAGGGAATAAAAACTGAGGAAACCCTGGCGGGCGACTGGATGAGGCCTCCAATGAAGAAAATGACCCTTGGATGATATGAGGATATGCTGAGATGAGTCAAAGCTGGGCCTATGTGATTGGCGATCAACAAAACAATATAGTAAAGGAATGGTGGCCGATTACTGTCTATTTTCTTCATACATCTCGGAACTGTCAACCGAGGGGAGGCTACTTGAGGCGTCCCAACTCCCAATGCGCTAACCTCATTATTTGTTCTACTACACCATATCCTTGATATTCCGAGTAGGCTCGTCATAGCGAATCTGGGTCGTGTCGGCCCATGATTCCATACGAGACTAGCCGCAACAATATCCTGTTTCCATATTTGTTGCAACCCTGAATTTGTATGGCCAAGTTTGACATTTCTTTAGATAGCAAGGCTAATGGCGTAATAATGATAATTGTCCGTGCGACAGTCAATTGGAGGTAGGCGCAGTCTATAATATGCTGAATGGAAGGGAAAAGTTACAGATCGCGGAGGTGTCAAGGGCTCGGGCGCGTGGTGGCCGAGGCTGAGGAGGAATTTGCGCTCCGGCGCGGCAAAAGAGGGCACTCGGCGCGGTTGGGCTTGACACGATTCAACATACGGGTGAAGTCTGAGGTGGAACGAGGTAGATTTACTTAATGGTAGTTAATCTGAACTGGCCCGGCCCCACTCGTGCGTGAGCCCTTGTAGGAGTGCAATGGTTGTCACTTTACCTAGCACGTTGATGAACTTGAAATATCCAAGGTGACAGGACGAACCTCGCATCTATTTAGACGTGACACGGCTAGATGGGCTCTGAGAGCTCCTTGCTACCTACATGACCGGCATTAAAGACAGAAGCGACAAAAGAATAAAAGAAATAAAAGGAACAATAAATACCTGAGTTGCAGTGCCCTGCACTACATCCCTATCTTCCAAACCTATCCCCTCCCGAGTTGGAATCTGTTCGGATTAGGTCCTGGTCAACGATGTTTAGCCTAATTGTGCTATGTTGCAGGCTACTGTTCCAATTATTCATGGGGTCATCATCAGGGTTATGAGTAGTTTCGGTTTTGGTGTGGGTTGTTAGATTGATACCTAAGCATGTCGCATAGTAGTCAGACATGCGACTCGAGTAGCATATGCACGGTAAACCTCAACCTCAAAATGATGATACGAATCAGGTTTTACATGCTACGTCCTGTATAGCTAGCGTGGTTGGAATATGGGGAAATTACCTGTAGATAGATAAAGACGTTGTAGCCCGTTGATAGTTGGGACAAGTCTTCTACAATATTACATCGGAATCAAATCTAGCCGCTCATTAAGCAATCTCATAAATTATTTCCAATGTCTGTGATAACAGACATACATATACAATATCGACAACAAGTTTTAAAGTCGATAAGTTATGAGCCCGGAAACTGTCGACAACAACTTCAATGTCGATAAGAATCCGTTTCAGCGTGGTCACCTTCTACCCTGTTCACTCTTCGACAGACGGTAACATCTGCTTGTAGTTAAGAATTGAATGAACTTCTACCATCCCTTCACCCCTATCATTTCCCTGGCTCCAGGCGGGGCCATTTTCTCACAGCTACCCAACTTTGCAAAGGAGATCGGCACGCTGAAAAATGCCAGGGCCTTTTCTCTTCGTCGCAAACGCACTTCAGATGTTCATGTTGGTGGTTGAAACATCAATGGTAGTCGGCTAGTCCCCGAGGCCAGTCCTTACCGCGATTAGACGGTGGTATGGCCACCTTCGTAGAGTCAGTTCCGGTGGCTGTTTGCCGCGCATGAAGAGGTGTTAGACACTGAGGGTCAAATAAAAAATTTAAAGTAAACTTGTGTTGATGAAATCTCTGCCCCTCAACTCCTCTCCAGCAGTGATGCTATATACCCATCTGAAACTATATCGAGGAGAGATTATCTTCTCCTCGTTTCCCAAAATTACATATGAAATATATTACATGTGTTGAAGATCAAAAGATCTCAAGTTGGAGCTTTGACTATCATGATCACCATATCCCTGGTGAGATATCAAAGCTCGAGTAAGTTAATCCGAGATGTGTCATACTAATATCTAATGATTCTCATTACCTTATTCAGTAGGTACTAAGCTATCGAATGTTTGAAAAGAGGTCTAGGTCTTTGTATCGTTCCGGCCGAAACTTCTGCCACCACTCTTCCACGAGTTCTTGACCCAGCATTTTAACTAGTCTCCCTAATGCCGCAAAGGTTAGATTTTGAGATTCTCCACTGAGCAAAGCTGTAGTTAGTGACCAGTTGTTGAGAGATCTCAAGGCAACTTTGACCAGCTCATCGGCCTCTTCAATGCCTTTGATCCCAACATGACCTGGTATCCAGCGTATTTCCACACGCTTGTTTTGTCTTAGCAGTGAAAAATTGTCCACCACTGCCTGCGAGGAACTAGATCTTCCTCTTTCGAGCGCCCGAGCAGCCGCTTGATTGTCTAGAAAAATGCGAATCAGTAGGTCATCTCCCACTGTTAGTGCAGGCTCCAAGGCTTTCGTGGCGCCTAGAACCCCCGCGTCGAATACCTCTGGTCCGGGAAGTAGACCGGAACCACTCCCAACTAGCTTGCCGCCTTGGTATACTACATATCCCGAGGCTAATTTTCCAGGGCCCCACGAAGATCCGTCAGAGAAGGCACAGATTGTCTCGGCTGGAAGGGAAGCTAACCGCCGCTTTATGATTCCAGACCTAGCTTCTTTTTCTCGACTGCATGGAGTAGGTGCCGGGGGAGCCGTGTGGAAAGTAGAGCTTTCCAGGGCCTTCAGCAATCGGAACTTGAGGCACGCTCATCTGCAGGCGTGTCATGTATCGTTCTAGCTGTCTGAATAGGCGATCTCTTTGTCCAGATCCAAGGCCTAAGCGTCTTATTGTCTCTTTCGGATCCTCAGCCACCCGAAGGGCTAGAGGGTGCCAGATATCCATTCTTCGCATACGAGCTGCAGATCGCAGCATATTTTGCTGGAGAATTATCGATGCCAGGGATATTCCCGCTTCAAGATAAAGAGCGCTATTCAGAGTAGTACGTCACGCTGGGAGTGCTACTCGGATAGCTTTCATTATCGTTGTGTCCAGTAGAGACATATGCCTGCCTACTCTAGTGCTGTCTTCTTTATCTCGCAGTGTGGTTACTCGAGTGAGACCAGGCCACCACGCTTCTACCCCATATAGAGCCGTACTCAGAATGCATGCATGTACCGCACGAATTAGAGACCCAGGAGCTGCACCGCGTTGAACTCCGTTTATATGTCTTAAGAAGTGGACTAGACGGTTAGCTTTTCCAGTTCATACTTGTAAATGTTGCTTGAAGTTCAGCTGAGTATCAAGCTAGATTCTTAGCCACCAGATATGCGGTGCTGGTTCGATTCGATGATGTCTCACCATGATTGAAGGTCCAACCGTGTTAATTTTCTTTCTAGGCCCTCCTCCGGTCACTAGAAGTTCGGACTTTGCTGGGTTAGACTCGATCCTATGTTCTCTTGCGAGAAGGATAAAGCTGTTGATGTCGTCTTGAGCTGCGGAGATGGCATCCGCTGCGGTGTTTCCAACTCTGACGATCGCTACATCATCAGTATAACCAAACCTGCTCGTTAGACCACGATCCTCAAAAGCACAGCGATACAGAGCATGAAAAGGAGTGGCGAAAGTGGCGAGCCCTGAGGTACTCCACATTCCAGTATCTTCTCTTCTGTGATTCCACCGCGGTATTTGACCTGGACTTTCCGTTGGTAAAGAAGTGTCTGAATAAACCGGCACAGGGATAGTGGCCAGCCTTGTTCTCGAAGGCGTTTGAGCAGTCGATTGTGAAGGACTGCGTCAAAAGCACCTTGAAAATCAAGTGTGACCATAGCCGCTCACTTACCACTTCTCATGGCCGCCTCAGCATTATGGATTAAACAGGATGTAAGGTCGACTGCAGATCGTCCTAGTACAGAGCCGAATAATTGAGGGTGAACCACTTGGTGACTTATCGTCAGCCACGCCATTCTCTTGCCAACTAAACGTTCAAGTCCTTTGCCTAAACTCGAAAGCAGCGAAATCGGTCGCCAGCCCTTGGCGGTTGACAGATTTTGTCCCGGTTTGGGAAGAAGTACAACCTCTGCTACCCTGAAAGCCATGGGAAAGTAGCCAATATTCAGACAGGCCTGGTAGAGATCCTTAACCAGAGGCCCGAGATGGGACCAACAGGCTTTAAGTAGACTTACCGTTATCTTGTCCGCTCCCGGTGCCGTATCGTTGACAGAGACAGTGGCACTTGTCACATCGTCCAGTGATATTTCCGGATCCCATGGAATACGCTCCTCCTGTCCATTCTCTCAGATAGAAATGTCGTTCTCGCCGCTAAACCTTTCCAAGAGAATGTCTCGAAGCGCACTAGCTCGCTGTCGCGGGTCAGATTGCCACCAGTTTTCGTCAATCTGCAGAGGGGGGGCTCAGCAGCTGGTCGAGGTTTAGCCCATCGAATGAGCTTGAACACCTGTGCGCTAGCACGTTACTGAAAACCCAACCAAATCATTTTATCTGTATCACAAGTTCAGCGACTACCGGAACACAATTTGACCAGATTGCTAATTCTCGGTGCAATAGACCAGCTGCTAGGTGCTCTTGACCAAGTCTAAAATTTACAGCGCTCGCCACAGCGTCTGTGGTTTCCAGCTATAAATTGAGCCCACGCTCTGTCCTACCGAGACTCGCGAAGGTGGGCGTCACCTGCCCTTGTCACGCCTGGATGAATGACTTGGCGTCAAGCCGGCTGTAGTACCCGGGCCCCGCCTTATGGGTCCCGATCGAAACAAGCTGGTGATCACCATGTTGAGTCGTTCAACCTAATCATCACCACTGCCCGATCAGAATAGTAGAGATGTGACTTGTGAAGGATTATGCCAAGAATCCGTCATGTAACCTCTCTGAAGATATCCTAAGCGTTCAATGACTTAAGTTAACATCCGTCCGCAGGTAGTACCTCCATCACTTCTAAAGTAAAGATGCGTGAGCCTGCCTTTCTCGCACATTCCAATGAACTTGGTGTCTTGTCGGTGGAGTTTTCAGGCGGACAGGTGCGTTACCTTCACGTCTCATGGATAAAATCTAATAAATTATTCTAGACAAAATTTGGGGTTGACTCGGGACCCTCAGCTCTAATTTCTTGCGGGCTCCTCGCCCAGCTACAGGATGAATTAGGTTACAAGCTCTTCCTCGATAATGTCTCATGTCGTTACAATGATCAGGTACTGGCCGATGAGTCCAACTTTCGTGGCATGAAGAACCCTCGTGCAGTATCCGCCGTCACAAAGGAACTATCAGAAAAAGTCTATACCCAGGCCAAAGAAGGAAGATGTGTGTTAACACTCGGTGGAGATCACAGTATAGCGATTGGAACTATTTCAGGGTCTGCAAAAGTTATTCGCGAGAGGCTTAACAAAGACTTGGCGGTTATCTGGGTTGATGCTCATTGTGATATTAACACACCTGAAACGAGTGAAACTGGAAATATTCATGGCATGCCAGTTGCTTTCCTAACGGGCTTGGCCAGAGAAGAGAGGCCAGAAATCTTCGGATGGCTACAAACTGATAATCTAATCAGTACCAAAAATCTAGTTTACATCGGCCTTCGCGATGTAGATAAAGCAGAGAGACTAATACTCAAAGAGCACGGTATCAAGGCATTCAGCATGCATGATATTGATCGGTGAGTACAGCTGCCTTTGCTACAGAGCTGATCGCTAACCTTTCAGTCACGGTATTGGGAATATAATGGACATGGCCTTGGGATATATAGGCAGCGAGCATCCTATCCATCTCTCTTTTGATATTGACGCAATTGACCCTATGTGGGCCCCCAGCACTGGAACGCCAGTACGCGGGGGACTGACCCTTCGCGAGGCCGATTTCATAGCTGAATGTGTACATAAAACAGGCAGCCTTGTTTCTATGGATATGGTCGAAATAAACCCAAAATTAGACGCAGGAAATGAAGATTTTGGGGCCCACCAAACTATCCGAAGTGGCTGTTCCTTAATTAGATGTGCCCTGGGAGAGTCTCTCCTTTAACCCAATCTACATTTTTTTCGGAACCCACAGGCTACAGAAATAATTTTATGCATGTGCACAACAAGTGACCAGAACCTGGGTAAGGAGAGACCTCGTAATAGCTCCATAGTTAAATTATTCTGCACAAGTAGTAGTGGCAGGTATGGTTTGTGTGGTAGAAAGGAAGCAGGCTGCTATATTAGTATTAGTTCGAATTTGATCAAACCATACGAAGGATATGACAGGAATCGTTGATTGCTTCTCTACAGGACCAAAACGGATGAAGCATCATCCTAGCTTAAAAAGTAAATTTTATTATACTTGGGGAATTCAAATGAACAGCAAGTCATTGTTATTTTTGGCCATTGGTTGTTCTAAATATCTATCCAAACAATTCCAAGTGGTTACTGGACCACGAAATATTGCTCTTGCTAGGTAGATAAGGCCATAGACTGTATTTTGTTTGTGATTTGAGGTGCCGGTGGATTACTATCAACTGTTGTTATAGCACAACAAGCGTCGATGCCAACAATATCAGCTCCTTTTTAAACACGCACATGAGCCGGCAAAGACGAATTTCCTCACCTTCCAGTGGTGCCGGTGTAATCGTTCAGCGTGCTCTGCATATCTGGTATGGCCGAGAAGAATCGGATCCGAATCGAAGTAGAAAGCAATCTCGAGCATATTATGATGAAACCAGGCTTGCTGTACTGTACTTTTAGAAAGATTGAACTATATGAAGAAAGAACACAACTACGGGTAATGACTAAATGTATATTCTTTCAGCTCATCCAGTACGTACTCCGTTGGTGAGCATGACATCTTGCTCCGCCACTGCCCGTCGTTATCCTACTTTACCATCTAGCTTGACTCTCTCACTTGGCGACTGTACTTCGCCGTCTCACATTCCATCCCAGGCCCAATGTTGTTTGGCGAAGTGTAGCTTAGTCACTTGATACAAGATATCATGGAACAATCTCCCTGCTGCGCGGCAAACCTCCGTTTACGTCTCCACCCAAGCTAAACCACGGTCAAACCGTAACACATATTTAAAGTCGACGACTTCTCCTCAATGTCGGACCTGACCAATCTCTTGCGAGTCCTCTACTTCAATCCAGGTGAACCAGTAATGGGAATCCTACCATTAAATTAAGAAAACCCCCCATTAGAATGGTAAATAGGAGATGTATATAAATATTCTGTCCTGCACAGCTGTAAACTTAAATAGGACAGAAATTGATAAATAAAAAAAACATCAATTTTACTACAGCACTTCGCTTCGACCACCGATAAAGGCATTACCCAAATTGCAATCGGGAATTCGCCTTATCATAAATCAGCTATTTTATGTTAGAAGGTTCCGTGGAAAAGGTGGCCGAATTCCACGAGTAAACACTGAGCTGAATGGCTATTCATCAAGGGGAGTATATCAATGATCTTTCAAGTAACAAAAGAGGATAGGAGCACTGTACAAGGTGTGGCCTGGGTCAGAGAAGAGCCCAATGTGCTAGATATTCATAGACTCAAGTAGCACAATAAAAACACACACACATAATCAGCTGTCTCCCACCACAGAGCTACGATGCAATGTATGCTTGCGAGGAAGAAATTTGGTCGTTATCTACAAAGCTCGGATCTTGGTGTATGGGGGGCCGTTGCTCTAATGAGAATTTTCATATGGAGGGAGGACAGGCAGCTGGGACGTAGGACGAGCGAGTGAAAAGGTCACAAATGAGCATTCTCAAACTCATACTTTTCGAGTGTTTTCGACTTTGGAGTGCTTGTGGGCTACGAGGCTACGAGGCTACGATTTTGGACAGCGTTACCCATACTCTAAAAACAGGCAACGATGGATGGTGTTTTGGTCCGCCACCTGGTCGTCATCTCCCGAATTAAAGCCTGGGTAGCCCGGACACCTACCTCATTCGAGAAAGGAGGGACTACGAGGCCATATCTCGCGCGGTGGCTTTATTTAAAATGACAAGGGCAAGTTAGGGTAGCCGAAGTTTTTTCCTTTGGTGGATATTAACGGATGAGGGTACTACGAGAGTCCCCAGCACAAAGGTCTCAAGTGGTATCAGCAAATACACCCACTGCACAAGTGTTCCAAATATTAGACTATCTTATCGTCGTATTTAAAGTCGTCGGGGATGACTGGTCTTCTCCGTGTGATGCTCTATGAGTATTAGGCTTGTGCCTGTGACGGATAAATATCTATCAAACACATCGGTCACCACGTCCTCTCAGGAATGCATCTTTAGTTGTAACTAGTGCCCAGTAGACGTAAAAACAATTTAATCTATCAAATACGCTTCTAAATTTTGTTACGGGAAATGGCCCGGACGACCCAGATCGCCCCGTGTGATTTTGATGAGACCGATGTTCGGCAAAGACTGATGGGATAACTGATCAGATGGTCTATATTTAGCCTGGAAAAGTACGTTTTTTATTATTAGATTTAAGTCCTAAGCTAAAGCTCTGGGTCCACTATAGGTACAAGACTGGTGGAGCCGCCAGGGATCACTGCTTACTGGCCCTGCTCATTCCAACCGCGAGACCCGCTACAGAAAATGTAGAAGGTAAATTATAACTCAGAAGACACCACATATTCCGACTCCGAAATCGAGACTCCATCCTTCAACCCTAAATTCAAGTCCATAAAAATCTCCTCAGAGAAACGACACTTCTCGCCTCGATCCCTTTCGTGTCATGCATTGTGGAAATGACTAGATTGTCTGATCCCCGCTGAGAGCAGTGGATGGGTGAGCAGGTCGTCTATCAAAACAGCCGGTTTCCTCCGCAAATATTTTGAAGCTTTCGTGGCACTTGGGCCCGAGAAGCTTTTTGATAAAGTCAGCGTGGGTCATTAACTTTCTGAGCCTACGCGTGTATTGTGCGTGGCGTCTACGGTGGATGAAGTGGGTTGGAGTAGATTCCTTCCCGCAAGAGCACTCCATAGGAGCGTATGGATTATTAAAACGGCGATGGTTTACCGCAAAATTGACGTGACCCGTTCGTGCTGCAATTAGTGCCCGGAGGAGGTGCCTAGAGAGAGATAGTTCGGGTGGTTTGCGTCTCCGCACCTGTAGGTTGAGTTGGCGGTACTTAGGCGGACAGGCCTCTTCCCGCGAATTGTTGAGCAGCCTCTGTCGTCTGCGATTCATGAGGCCTCGAAGATGTGCTAGAGTACTGGATCCTGGTTGCGTATTCGTGCTAGGCAATTCTCAAAGTGCTGCACGGGCCATGGTGTCTGCCTCTTCATTTCCTTGGATTCCTGCATGCCCTGGAACCCACTTCACTGATATTTTTGCCTTGTTTGAAAACGCAGGGAATTTTCGTATATCCTCTAGGCTAGTTGGGGAAGATCCCGTCACAAGCGCCCTTCCTGCTTGCTGACTGTCTAGAAACACGTGTATTTACAACAAACCTCCACCTTTTCTGGACTGCTTGTCCTCCACAAATTCCAGCGCGGCCTCCAGAACCTTCCTTGCCCCAATTATCTCTGCATCCAGCACCTCTCACCTGTGCTTGATGCCACTTTCTTTGCCGATGAGTTTCCCATACTTTTTCAGAACGAAACCCCAGGCGGAGCGTCCATGTCCTTCTCATGAACCATCCGAGTATGCGCAAATGTCTGTTCCTGGCACGTCGCTAATCTATCTAACGCAATCTTCGCGTTCCATCAGCTTTGCGCCTGATTTCTTATGATAAACCACCGGCATCAGAATTTTAAGGGGCTTCTGCTTCCGGAAGCTCTCGGTAGGCACGCTGTAATTGTGACATCTGAATTTCTGGTCTGGCTGAGGTTTTTGCAGCCTTTTTGCATTTTTGAGTGCCGACATTCGGGCACACGGAAACGCAGATCCTCAAAGGGTGTCGATCATCAAGGGTCCTAAGCCTTGCCGAAAGCCGGAGTCGGTTTCCCTCTAGTATGACCTTTGCCGGCGGGATTCCTCCTTCTCTGTGAAGGACTACATTTGGTGTTGTCCTCATTGCTGGAAGTGCAGCCCGCAATCCCATCAGGTTAGCTCTGTCAATCATGCTGTAGAGGTTGGAGGTTGAAGATGTGACTATTCCTCATAAAGTTGGGCGTTCGGACTCTGGCCACAAGACATCAGATCCAAAATTTGCGAGCGAGACAATGCACATGTCTACTGCCTTAGCCAATGGCCCGGGAGCTGCTCCACGAAAGACAGAGTTGAAACGGCGCATGTGCTGGGCAACTTTCACCGCTTTACCGCACCACGTAGTCACATGGTGTTTGAAATTGAGTCGTGGACCCAGATTCACGCCTAACCAGCGAATATTTTCCGCAGGCTCGACAAGAGATCCGCTTACATAAGCCCCAACTGCTTCTTCTCGGCGTCGTCCCGGAAATTGAATAAATTCAGACTTTTCCGTGTCAAAGTCGACGGCATTATTCCGCGCCCATTCGAGAAGAAGATTTGTCTCACTTTGTGCAGCGCCGGCAGATTCAGCAACTGTGCGTCCAAACCCCAGATTTCCAATATCGTCGGCGTAGCTTAACCTCAATCCCAGAGTACCTTTTTCATTGGCTTCGCCAAATACAAAAGGAATAGTAAAGGCGATATTGGTGATCCTTGAGTGACTCCACAGACCAGCTTTCTCTGGGTGATGACTCCGCCGGAGTAACGCACTGGAACCTTCCGATTTGTGAGGAATGAAGTCGTCCACCGGAGGATTGAGTCTGGCCATTCCTGGGCTTGCATGCGCCTAACCAAGCGATTGTGGAGCACTGCATCGAACGATCCTTGGACGTCTAAAGTTACAAATATCGAGGCCCATCCCTGGGAGCGCTCTTCTTCGACGTCATGGACTACGCAGGAGACCAGGTCTGTTGCAGATCGCTTTGGGAGCGCACCGAATTGTTGATGGCCAACCACATCATGAGTGATTGCGAGGTGCGCCATTCGCTTGGCAAGAAGTCTTTCTAATCCTTTGCCTACGCAAGAGAGGAGAGCTATAGGTCTCCAGCCTTTGATTGTGGTTGGATCCCGATT